CGTTCGTGTGTGTGTGTGTGTGTGTGTGTGTGTGTGTGTGTGTGTGTGTGTGTGTTGTGTGTGTGTGTGTGTGTGTGTGTGTGTGTGTGTGTACACGCACGCATCTATCGAGTCGCCCATCGTGAAATGAACGTCTCATGGCTAGCGATGAACTTAACATACATCAGATTATTTCGATGGAAATATACGTCACTTCTAGTATTATCAAAAAAAGATCTTGATTCTTGGAAGGTTTGAACGTATTACAAGATTCTTGAATATTCTAGAAATAACATGCTTCCATTCGGTAACGCTTCCCATTCCTTTAGATATAAAAAAAAAATGATTTTACTGCAGTATCTAAAAAAATTTAACCAGATCGACCTGTAAATAATTTTGTCACCAGCTACAGGAGTATTGTAAGTTTAGATAACAAAACTGCAAGAATTTTTGGAATTCCAACAATAACTTAAATGTCCTACGTAATTATTTCGATAGCTTAAATTGTTTTGAAATTTATATTCGGTCAAATTTTTAGCTACTTCAACACAATATTCTTTCCATGTATCAATATGATATACGTATCAATTTTATTCTTGAACGTTATAAATGCTACACGCACGCTTCTGAAATAGTTTCGAGGAAAGAAACTTCTTTTTTTTAAAACCGTCCTAGGACTCTTGGGAATCTCGGGACTTTCGCAGGACTTTTTCAGGACTTTGAAGAATCTCCGGGTGATATATTCGATGCAAGTCGAAACTTTATATGATCGAATTGTTTGTGAACTTGGGAAAGAAGTATTCCGACGACCGTCGCTACCCACGGCGGACATAGCCGGTGCTCGTAAAGCGCGAACCGGTCCCCGGCGTGGATACAGCCGGTGTCACATCGCGGCCGATCGCGACAAGAACGATATAATCGTCCGGCATATGCCGCCGAGATCGCGCGCGAGAGACTGCGATCTGACTCGTCCGATCTGTATCGTGGAAACTTAGTGTCCGGCGATTCCGGTTTTCAGTTAAATATATTACCGACAAGATAAATTTCTCCTTAAGCGGACACGGCCTGCCTCAGCCCCGCGTTTGTCAGAGCGAGCCTACTAGAAAAATTCATAATTACTAATAACCTTACACGCTTTTCCCTGATCCGTATAATCGATATATAACTGAGGAAAGCCACGCGACCGGTACGTCGAGATCCGGTTCGCTTTCAAAGTTATGAAAAAAAGAAGAATCTTTCGTCCAGTAAAATAAGAACGGACTGAAGTCTTTCTAACGATTGTAGCGGTTATAATATTAAAAAAAAAAAAAAAAAAACAATAATTACTTAACAAGATGTGATTATTTCGATCGTCTTTGCGTTGAAAGAAATTAGCTTCCGTGGGGGAAAGGAATGACGTGGAGGAAAGACGAAGGGGAAAAATATAGAAAAATATAGACAGGAATGCCTTTTGTTCGAATTGAAGTAGAACAGATCTGGTGACTAATTGCGATAGAGTAGCGCCATATCATATCAAGGGTTTTAAATACGGGCGTGCACCGCGCGTGAAAAAGTCGGAATCGCCAGGTGTCGCGGGTATATAACGGGTCGCATAAAATATCGCGAGTTGAAAACGCCGACGCGAGGAATAATGGCCGCGGTAGTAATATAAGCGGCGATACAATGAAAATGACCGAATAATGGCCGGGGCGCCCCGGGGGGGGGACTCTCTATGGATCTCTCTCTTCTAGAATATAATAAATTCCAAATTAAAAATCAACCGATGCGGCGACGTGTGTTACGCCCGGACGCCCGAGCGCGCGCACTCACGCACTCACGCACGCACGCACGCACGCACGCACGCACACGTACGTATATATAGATATATATCGACACGGCGCGCATGCCGCGTAATGAAATCGGAGTATAATGAACGAACGAATAATACATCGCGCGGAATCGGCGCTTAGGCGCAATAAATCCAAAATCGACCGGAGAGATCGATGAGGAGGGAAGAGAAAAAGAGAGCGAGGGAAGCGGGGAGGGGGGGGGAGAGGTGAGACGAGAGAGCGGGGAAACGGGGAGGGTGGAAGGAGGAGCGGGGTGGAAGAGGGAGGTAATGAAATACAATGAAGCAATACAATAAAAAGTACGAATACAACTCGGCTCGCGATGCCAAGCGGACGTAATGCCCCGGCCACGTGGGCGGATTCGAAAACGGATCGCTCCGCGAATGTATAAATCGCATCGTTGCCGGTTCTCGCGCAACGTTCGACACCGTCATAAAACCCGAACCGGTCCCGGGTTTCGATGCTCACGAGCGCGCCCGCACATACGACTGTATTAATATGTATTATCAGCCTCTCTCTCTACCCCATTCGGCCCCTCCTCTCTCTCTCTCTCTCTATCTCTTCCTCCTTTCTTCTCCTTTTCTTCTTCCTCTTTCTTTACCTCTTTCTCTTTCTCGTTCGCTCGCACGCTTCACGAATGGATCGGCAATTCTGAGCGTATAACGCGTTATCCTTCTAGGATCGCGCACTTGTCCGGTGGGAAAATACGGCACGTCTCGTGAGATTCGCGTAGCAAACCTCAGCAAAGTAGATGAGAAAAGAAAAAAAGTTTATTCTTTCGATAATTTAGCGAGGGACGTAATATCGGTTATTGAATCACTTTGCGATTGCGGCTAGATTCGTAAAGATATCTATTCCTTCCTTATTCGCGACTGCAAAATGTTCGATGTTAACGTCGTCTTCCGGGTGTTAAACTTCTGGGTAAAAACTTCACTTTAAATAAAGCATGTCTGAAACTGATTGATGGACAAACTGTGCAATGAATCATTTCTATAAATGTTATAAGTAACCCGATAATCGTTCATTTATGCTGAAATATTCACGACAAGGATCGATTTCGTATTTTTACTTTCCTTCGGTGTTCCTAATACAATAACTCGATACCGTGACTAAAATTCCCCTTCCCCTCTCCTTTTTTTATCTAGATCCATTTCTTTTTACCCTTAATTCGTGAGCGTTGATTATATACGAGCCTACTAACTTCTCGGTTATAATGACTTTTGAACTTTGGTTATAATGACTTTTGAACCCACCGGAGGGGGAAAGAAGAAAGATCGAAATCGTCGGAGAGGATGACGTTTCTATGCAAAGTTTCTAGCAAGTCAGGGCGGCGCAGCCTCGGAAGAGAGGTACGCGATGCAAAGCAACGAAACGGAACAGCAGATCTTATAGCTCCGTTACAACCGGCTAGCTGACCGATCCCAACGAGTACGACCGGTGGTACCACACCCGCTCGAGTATTTCGAGCGGAATGATGGAGAGATAAGCGAACTCGCTAGCTCGCTCGCTCGCTCGCTCGTTCGTTCGTTCCTTCGTCCGTGAGACGTTCTACTGTGGTAACGAGCCTCGGAGTCGCATTCGTAGACGACGCGCCCTCGAGCCAGATGCCTGTTCTCGCACCGCGATTCGGCGCGACGACACGCGCCGGTCCGATATTTAGCCCGGCAGCCGCGGCAGGTGGTGATTTTCTGGCCGGCCGGCCGGCCAGCCAGCGCGCGACCCGATAAACGGATCGCTCGCAGTTAAAAGCGCGCAATTTCACACACGAAGCCAGATTTTCCAGGGGAATTTGATGAGGAAAAGAAGTGGAGCTCTTCAATCACAGAAACGGATGCTTTCTCTTGGAAATTTTCACAGTATCGAAGAAAGAGAGGTTCGCAGGGATTTCTGTCTGTCTCTCTCTCTCTCTC